TGAGTCCAGGGATGAGAAACTTCAGTTATGTAAATAGATTAGAGAAGATGGGACTGTTTCATATACCTTGATCAAATCTCCTCTCAACTGTCTCTTCTCTAAGGAATCATGAGGGGATTTGGACAAACTGCTCAATGTCCAAACGTGACCGGTATTCGTTGATGTGTGGGTGGAGGGGGACAAAGGTGAGCCCTTTACTGAGGACTGACCGTTCGTAGGAGAACATATACCTTATTATCTGAAAAGGAAGGAATTGCAGGAGAACAAGGAAAAGGCAGAGGAGAGGCAAAAGCTGAGCTGATCCTTCATAAAACCAACAGAAACAATGGGCCGAATTGCCTTTTGTGCTGTAACTGTTCTACAAATTTATAAGAACAGTCTTTCAACTCAAGCCATCTGCACCATTTGATTAGGTCGCTGTTGATCTGTATCATAAATCCATTCACCTGCATTTACTCTTTAATCTTTAAATGCTTATCCAACAAAGGTCCATCAGTCCCAGATCTAAAAGTACTAATTGATCTATCACCTACTACCTTTTAACTGGGAGAATTCTCCATATGTATACTACTTGCTGAAAGAAGAGTTCCCAAGTTCTTCCAAATAGCCAAATTTTGATGTTAAGGTTCTGTGGTCTTGTCCTAATGTCACCATCAGAAAAAAGTTTTTCTCTATCCAGCTTAACAGATAATTCCTTTCAAGATCCTAAAAAATCTCAAATCAAATGAATCATCCTTATTTTACTATATTTCAGAAAATACTTAAAATATACCTGTAATCCCTTATGTAAACTGATTCTTTTAGCCCTGACGACATTTTGATTAATCTGTACTGTACTCCTTCCAAGACCAATGTGTTCCAAGATTTGGTAACCAAGACTGCACACACGTATTGCAGGCATGATCTAACCAGGTCCTTGTATCAAAGTTTTCTTTTTATATTCCAACTCAGAAGAGTCAGTATTCTATTCCCCTTTTTTGATTTTTTTTTGTACCTACTACATTTTAGTAATCTGTGTCCATGGACTCCTAATTCTCCATGGACTTCCACTGTTTCTATTTCTTACCTTTAAAATACTAGGATGTATCCTTTATTTAGTTCAAAATGGATGACATTATAGCTACAATACAAATCTGTCCATCACAGCTTTGCCCACTCAATCAATATCTGTTTTTAAAGGGCCCACATTACCAATGACTAGCATTTTTCTTCCAAAATAAAACAGTTTCAAAAATAAAATCAAAATCGTGATATTTCTTGCAATTTCTTTATAATAATTGATAGGGAAGGAAAAGAAGAATGATCAGCAAGCGTACAAATAACATTCTTGCTAAGTTCTGTACTTTAAAAATAGATGTTCATAAATGCATTATATGCTGATCCATAATACGCAAAATCTAATATTCAGATACTGAATGTTAATTTGTTTCTTTATTTATTTTGTTTTTGGTCTCTAGTATCACATCAATGTTCAAGTCTAAAAATGAATCACACTGGAAAATGGTTTGTGAAGCACTTGTTTAAAAGTAGCGCACATGGTATTCACTACAAGACAGAGCTGGGCAAACTGCAGCCTGTAAGCCACATCCAATTCACAGAAACCCCAACACAGCCCACAGCTGCACCACAGAATTCCAAGAATAGTGTTTCAAAGCCAAGGGAAGTACTGCAAGGTACGCTGGCATTGGTCAATGATCATAGGCAGGGGGTGTGATTTTCTTGAGCATTACCAATGGCAGCCATGTTAGAGGCATGTGGAAGAGCAATGGGAGCAACACAAGATAAATGTCTATTCAAATTTACATAGTAGTTTACTGCAGTTTCGATCTCTGTTGATTTCCCAATTTTAAAATTTCAACTCATTTTCTCTCAAGATTTCAATGTTCTTTATGAAGAGTCAACTTGTCTTGTTTCACCATTTTTCCTCATTTGCTCACTGAAGATTCAGACCCTTGCTAAGGCACAGTGCCATCAGTACTAGCAGTCTCGGACTGGAACTTCAGGTCTGAAGATTAGGAATGTGTTTCCGAACAGGGTAGAACAAAATGCACTTGGTAGCACCCATTTGAAAATGTAGTGGGAAGTTATTAAACCCCAAGTGTAGGAAATGGAGGTAGCAAGAGGGCACAGATAACCGTACTCCCTTCAAGATGTAGTTATTACCTCTTAGGATTGAGATGAGGTGTGATGTCTTCACTTAAGAAATTATGAATTTTTGGAATTATCCACCCTAGAAAGTTGTGTCAATGAACATATTCAACATGGATTAATCAATGTTTGCACTCAAACAGAAACAAAGTATCTGGGGATTTGAGGTTGGAGACAGGACCAGGGGCTGCGTGGCCTACTCCTGAGCCTACTTCAAGGTGTAGGAACATTTATGGAATGGAAGAAAGCCGTCCAACCTAACATATCTGCAGTGGGCAAGAGAGGGCTATCCAGTCTAATTCCACCTTTCATCTCATGGTCCATAGTCTTGCAGGTTACAACACCTCAAGTGCATTCCCAAGAGTTTTGGTTTCCAAATTCAATCTGCTTTCAGTATCTACTACATTTTCATCCAGTGCATTCCAGATCTTCTGCAAGAAAACATTACTCAACTCCCCACAATCCTGCTGCCAACTACTTTAACACAATGCACCTGATTATTGTCCCCTCTGCTAACAGAAATAGGTCCTTCCTGTCCATTCGATCTTGGTCCCTCATAATTTCACACAAATCAATTAAATCTCCTCTCAGCCTCTTCTGTCCTAAAGAAAATGCACCCAGCCTATCCAATGTTGCCTCTTAGCTAAAATTCTCTAATTCTGGCAATGTTCTTGTAGACTTTTGTGGGTTCTCTAATACAAACACATCCTTTGTACAACACAGAGACCAGAACTATATACAATACTCTAGCTAGCATTAATAGTTCTAGTGAAACCTTCCTCTTATACTCAATGCTTTAACCAATAACAAAATATCCCATATACCTTCCATGCTACCTGATCTAGCTACATTCAAGTGGCTGTACTAATACACTTCAAGGTCCCTCTCTTCCTGTACATTTTTCAGAATCCCATCACTTATGACAATATGCCCTTGCTTTTTTTGACCTCAAAACATGCTACATCATATTTTCCAGATTGAAATCCATTTGTCACATTTCTCCCCACTTGCCTAGTCCATCATTACGTTCCTACAGTGTGGAATTTTCCTCCCCACTACTAACCGATTTTCTATCATATCAATTTCCATATCTGCAAGCATCTTAATTATGCTCCTGACAAAAGGTCTTAATCTTTGGAGTATACCACAAATATCCAGCGACTCAAAACAGAACCCAGTGGAATAACATGTGAACAGCCTTCCTGCTACAAAGGTACCTATCAAAATTAACCTTCTGCTCCCTGCCTCAGAGTCTATTTTGGATCCAACTTGCTACTTTACCTTTGATGCCATGGATTTTTAAATTACACGTGTTAAAATCGTCATTAAAATCCATGTGGACAACATTCACTGTGCTATCTTCATCAATCCTCCTTATTGCCTCAAAAGTGTATCTGGACCCAAAACATTAACACTGTTTCTCTCACTACAGAAGCTGTCTAACTTGAGGAGTTCCAGCAATTTCTGTTTCAGATTTCCAGCATCAGCAGTTTTTTTGTATAGGGCCAATGGCATCAGTTCTGGGATTGACACCGGAACTATAGGGGCGGTGGGACCAATTCTGGGATTGACACCGGAACTATAGGGGCGGTGGGACCAATTCTGGGATTGACACCGGAACTATAGGGGCGGTGGGATCAGCCCGGGATTGAGACCGGGACGGTGGGATCAGCCCG